TTAACAGATTTGATAAATATCATGGTGCATTATCATTCAAACATTTGTGACATATGGTGGCCAACTTGTATATAATCCTTTTCTCAACAGGTAGCCAATGCAAAGTTCGTAAAAGAGATTTAGCAGAGTCTCGCTTTCTTTTCCGTAAAACTAAACGTGCTGCATTGGACAGTTTTAAGTCGTTTAACTTTCTCCAGTGATATTCCTGATAACAAAGAGTTACAATAATCGAGTTTTGATAAAATTAAGCTAGTTACTAGTAAAGCAGTATACTTGGTATTGATCAGATGACGTATTTTACTAATTTGTCTTATTTCTAAATACATGCAGCTGATCAGTTGATTTACCCCAGCCGACATTGACAAACTAGAATCAAAATAGATGCCAAGATTCTGAACTTTTCTTGAAAATATAATTTTTGCATCACCAATTGTAATGTGATCACGGTCAACCTCTTTACAGACTTTGCATTGCCTGCCAGAATGACTTCTGTTTTATTATCATTTAACATCAATTTATTTTTGTTCATCCAGTTTTTCACTAAGGCAATACAATTTTGAGCACGATGGACAAGTTCATCTAAGTTGGTAAACAATGTTGAACCATAAATTTGAGTATCATCAGCACAGAAATGGTATTTAAGTCATATTTAACTATTTCCTTGACAAGTGGTTGAGTATAAATGGTGAACAAACCTGGACCGAAGACTGAGCACATTTCAACACATTGTGTTTCTCTCTTTTTCAAATGTCGGTGTTTTACTCCCCCATCAGCACACTTTAGATAATTAAGGAGACGGGTTTCCGACTCTGCCTGTCAGAGTCAACCAGAGCTGACTTCGCCTAGCGATACGCGTACAACATTCCAGCAGAAAGACCGATGGGGCACTCGATAAAAACTCTCCCCTCTCGGGAATCGAGCCCAGGTCTCCTCGCTGGACGGCTGCGGTATGCAGAAAAAAACGCCTTTTTTAAAATTTTGGCGCGAAAAGGTTTTCTTCGCTAAATCGATAATCTGATAATTTTAATGTTACCCTAGTTGTGTGAAAAAATGAAAGTGAAACTGTGACTAGTTTTTTTAATAAATTAACGTACAAAATTCAGAAGAACGCCTTTTTTAAACGGTTACACTGACAAAACACCATATTAAGATTAAGATTTCGCTTACAGAACGCCCCCCCCAAAAGAATTTCCCCCCCCCCCCCGGCTTTGGAAAAAATGCGTTCTGTCAGCAAACTCTGAAAACAAGACGTTCTTGTTCAAAAGCGTTTTTTAAGGAAAACACATACGAAGGCCTTTTCATTGTCTTACCAACACAGTGATTCTCATCTTGGGTGTGACCTCCACATGGCCCGTTCCCCTCCCCCAAAACACACACGCACTCTCTCTCTCTCTCTCTCTCTCTCTCTCTCTCTC